TCTTGTTTCTCTTTTGTTTTCCCTGTTGTCCCTCTGTTGCTTCCCTTGTTGTCCCTCTGTTGCTTCCCCTGTTGTCCCTCTGTTGCTTCCCATGTTGTCCCTCTGTTGCTTCCCTTGTTGTCCCTCTGTTGCTTCCCTTGTTGTCCCTCTGTTGCTTCCCTTGTTGTCCCTCTGTTGCTTCCCCTGTTGTCCCTCTGTTGCTTCCCATGTTGTCCCTCTGTTGCTTCCCCTGTTGTCCCTCTGTTGCTTCCCATGTTGTCCCTCTGTTGCTTCCCATGTTGTCCCTCTGTTGCTTCCCTTGTTGTCCCTCTGTTGCTTCCACTGTTGTCCCATTGTTGCTTCCCTTGTTGTCCCTCTGTTGCTTCCCTTGTTGTCCCTTTGTTGCTTCCCATGTTGTCCCTCTGCTGCTTCTCTTGTTGTCCCTCTGCTGCTTCCACTGTTGTCCCTCTGTTGCTTCCCTTGTTGTCCCTGTGTTGCTTCCCCTGTTGTCCCTCTGTTGCTTCCCATGTTGTCCCTCTGTTGCTTCCCCTGTTGTCCCTCTGTTGCTTCCACTGTTGTCCCTCTCTTGCTTCCTTTGTTGTCACTCTTATGCTTCACCTGTTGTCCCTTTGTTGCTTCCCATGTTGTCCCTCTGTTGCTTCCCCTGCTGTCCCTTTGTTGCTTCCCCTGTTGTCCCTCTGTTGCCTCCCTTGTTGTCCTCTTTTGCTTCACCTGTTGTCCCTTTGTTGCTTCCACTGTTGTCCCTCTTTTGCTTCCTTTGTTGTCCCTCTGTTGCTTTCCCTGTTGTCCCTTTGTTGCTTCCCCTGTTGTCCTCTGTTGATTCCCCCTGTTGTCCCTCTGTTGCTTCCTCTGTTGTCAGTCTGTTGTTTCCTCTGCTGCTCTTCTGTTATTCCTCTGTTGTACCTTCATTGCTCACTTGTTTCCCCTTCTTCCTCTGTTGTTCTATTGCTCTTCAGTTGTTCCCCCGTTGTTCCTCTGTTGTTCTCCTTTGTTCCCATCACTCTCCAGGGACACCCATCACTCCCCAGGGACACCCATCACTCCCCAGGGACACCATCAATCCCCAGGGACACCCATCACTCCCCACTGGCACTCATCATTCCCCAGGGATACCAATCACTCCTCAAAGACACCCATCACTCCCTAGAGACACCCATCGCTCCTAAAAGACACCCATCACTCCCCAGGGATACCCATCACTCCCCACTGGCACCTATCACTCCCCAGGGACACCTATCACTCCCCAGAGACACCCATCACTCCTCAAAGACACCCATCACTCCCCACGGGCACCCATCGCTCCTCACGATCACCCATCACTCCCCAGTGACACCCATCACTCCCCACTGGCACTCATCACTCCCTAGGGACACCCATCACTCCTCAAAGACACCCATCACACCCCACGGGCACCCATCGCTCCACAGAGACACCCATCACTCCTCAAAGACACCCATCACTCCCCACGGGCACCCATCGCTCCCAACGATCACCCATCACTCCCCAGGGACACCCATCACTCCCCACTGGCACCCATCACTCTCCAGGGACACCTATCACTCCCCAGGGACACCATCACTCCCCACGGAGACCCATTACTCCCCAGGGACACCCATCACTCCTCAGGGACACCCATCACTCCCCAGGGACACCCATCACTCCCCACGATCACCCATCACTCCCCAGGGACACCATCAATCCCCAGGGACACCTATCACTCCCCACTGGCACTCATCACTCCCCAGGGACACCTGTCACTCCTCAAAGACACCCATCACTCCCCACGGGCACCCATCGCTACACAGAGACACCCATCACTCCTCAAAGACACCCATCACTCCCCACGGGCACCAACCGCTCCCCACGATCACCCATCACTCCCCAGGGACACCCATCACTCCTCACTGGCACCCATCACTCCCCAGGGACACCTATCACTCCCCAGAGACACCCATCACTCCCCAGGGACACCCATCACTCCCCACTGGCACCCATCACTCCCCAGGGACACCCATCACTCCTCAAAGACACCCATCACTCCCCACGGGCACCCATCGCTCCACAGAGACACCCATCACTCCTCAAAGACACCCATAACTCCCCAGGGACACCTATCACTCCCAAGAGACACCCATCACTCCTCAAAGACACCCATCACTCCTCAAAGACACCCATCACTCCCCACTGGCACCCATCACTCCTCAGGGACACCTATCACTCCCCAGAGGCACCCATCACTCTCCAGGGACACCCATCACTCCCCACTGGCACCCATCACTCCCCAGGGACACCTATCACTCCCCAGAGACACCCATCACTCCTCAAAGACACCCATCACTCCCCAGGGACACCCATCACTCCCCAGGGACATCCATCACTCCCCAGGGACACCATCAATTTCCAGGGACACCCATCACTCCCCACTGGCACTCATCATTCCCCAATGACACCTATCACTCCTCAAAGACACCCATCACTCCCCACGGGCACCCATCGCTCCACAGAGACACCCATCATTCCTCAAAGACACCCATCACTCCCCACGGGCACCCATCGCTCCTCACGATCACCCATCACTCCCCAAGGACACCCATCACTCCCCACTGGCACTCGTAACTCCCCAGGGACACCCATCAATCCCCAGAGACACCCATCACTCCTCAAAGACACCCATCACTCCCCACGGGCACCCATCGCTCCTCACGATCACCCATCACTCCCCAGGGACACCCATCACTCCCCACGGGCACTCATAACTCCCCAGGGACACCCATCACTCCCCAGAGACACCCATCACTCCTCAAAGACACCCATCACTCCCCACGGGCACCCATCGCTCCTCACGATCACCCATCACTCCCCAGGGACACCTATCACTCCCCAGAGGCACCCATCACTCCTCAAAGACACCCATCACTCCTCAAAGACACCCATCACTCCCCACTGGCACCCATCAAATCCCCAGGGACAACCTATCACTCCCCAGAGACACCCATCACTCCTCAAAGACACCCATCACTTCTCAAAGACACCCATCACTCCCCACTGGCACCCATCACTCCCCAGGGACACCTATCACTCCCCAGAGACACCCATCACTCCTCAAAGACACCCATCACTCCTCAAAGACACCCATCACTCCCCACTGGCACCCATCACTCCCCAGGGACACCTATCACTCCCCAGAGACACCCATCACTCCCCAGAGACACCCATCACTCCTCAAAGACACCCATCACTCCCCACTGGCACCCATAACTCCCCAGAGACACCTATCACTCCCCAGAGACACCCATCACTCCTCAAGACCCCCCATCACTCCTCAAAGACACCCATCACTCCCCACTGGCACCCATCACTCCCCAGGGACACCTATCACTCCCCAGAGACACCCATCACTCCTCAAAGACACCCATCACTCCTCAAAGACACCCATCACTCCCCACTGGCACTCATCATTCCCCAGGGAAAACCTATCACCTCCCCAGAGACACCCATCACTCCCAGAGAAAACCCATCATCCTCAAAGACACCCATCATCCCCACTGGCACCCATCACTCCCCAGAGACACCTATCACTCCCCAGAGACACCCATCACTCCTCAAAGACACCCATCACTCCTCAAAGACACCCATCACTCCCCACTGGCACCCCATCACTCCCCAGGGACACCTATCACTCCCCAGAGACAAACCCATCACTCCTCAAAAGACACCCATCACTCCTCAAAGACACCCATCACTCCTCAAAGACACCCATCACTCCTCAAAGACACCTATCACTCCCCAGAGACACCCATCACTCCTCAAAGACACCCATCACTCCCCAGGGACACCCATCACTCCTCAAAGAAACCCATCACTCCCCAGAGACACCCATCACTCCCCAGAGACACCCATCACTCCCCAGAGACACCCATCACTCCTCAAAGACACCCATCACTCCCCACTGGCACCCATCACTCCCCACTGGCACCCATCACTCCCCACTGGCACCCATCACTCCCCAGAGACATCTATCACTCCCAGAGAACACCCATCACTCCCCAGAGACACCCATCACTCCTCAAAGACACCCATTACTCCTCAAAGACACCCATCACTTCCCACTGGCACCCATCACTCCCCAGGGACACCTATCACCCAGACACCCATCACTCCCAGAGACACCCATCACTCCCCAGAGACACCCATCACTCCTCAAAGACACCCATCACTCCTCAAAGACACCCATCACTCCCCAGAGACACCCATCACTCCTCAAAGACACCCATCACTCCTCACGATCATCCATCGACTTAAGTTGTTCAGTCTAAATAAGACTTTACCTGATATTTATCTAGATAAATACCAAGTATGTAGATTTACCAAGATAAATGTCACTTAAAGAGTTGTGGGGAGCAGGCAACATAAGTGTTATTGACTCGGTAACAGCTAAGCTTGAAACCCAGTAACCCTCCTCCAACATCCCCCATATACATTTATTTTGTTATTTACTTTCTAATTTTCACAGAATTACTGATAAAAACGCAAGAGTCAGTTTGCTTGACAAAAACATTCACTGTCAAAGAAGCCTAAAGTTAAGTCTATAAAACCTCATACATGTAAATGTATGGAAGAAATAAAATAAAACCCTTGACTGAGCGCTTTTATGTGTTGAAGACATGTGTGTAAACACCTGAAACTGCTCATGCTTTATTTAGTATTTTTACTATATATATATATATATATATATATATATATATATATATATATATTATATATATATATATATATATATATATATATATATATATATATACATATATATATAGTTCCTTGATAATGTGAGACATCACGAAAGCGCTTGGAATTTCAGTGGTTGTTTTGCATATATAAGTATGTATGTAACATACATTTATGATGTATAATAAGTAAGAAAATAAAGAAATCTTCAAATATTTGTTGCCATGTATATTAATCAGTTGAATCACCCTCAGAATCATCAGCATTTAAGGAACTAAAACAAAACTGTTTATTGTGCAACCAACGTCCAGAAATACAATAAACATTATTAAAAAAAGTGGAAAAGAAGCTTTAAAAAAGTAAGATAAGCATTAAGTAGGAGGCCATTATTGTTATCGTGTATGACACCAGGTTATGACTGACCATGACACATCACACTGCTGCTTACACCATACATTATTGTTATCGTGTATGACACCAGGTTATGACTGACCATGACACATCACACTGCTGCTTACACCATACATTATTGTTATCGTGTATGACACCAGGTTATGACTGACCATGACACCACACTGCTGCTTACACCATACATTATTGTTATCGTGTATGACACCAGGTTATGACTGACCATGACACATCACACTGCTGCTTACACCATACATTATTGTTATCAGTGTATGACACCAGGTTATGACTGACCATGAACACCACACTGCTGCTTACATCATACATTATTGTTATCGTGTATGACACCAGGTTATTACTGACCATGACACCACACTGCTGCTTACATCATACATTATTGTTATCGTGTATGACACCAGGTTATTACTGACCATGACACCACACTGCTGCTTACACCATACATTATTGTTATCATGTATGACACCAGGTTATGACTGACCATGACACACCACACTGCTGCTTACACCATACATTATTGTTATCATTTATGACACCAGGTTATTACTGACCATGACACATCACACTGCTGCTTACACCATACATTATTGTTATAAAGTATTACACTAGGTTATGACTGACCATGACACACCACACTGCTGCTTACACCATACATTATTGTTATCGTGTATGACACAAGGTTATTACTGACCATGACACCACACTGCTGCTTACACCATACATTATTGTTATCGTGTATGACACAAGGTTATTACTGACCATGACACACCACACTGCTGCTTACACCATACATTATTGTTATCGTGTATGACACCAGGTTATTACTGACCATGACACACCACACTGCTGCTTACACTATATTATTGTTATCGTTTATGACACAAGGTTATGACTGACCATGACACACCACACTGCTGCTTACACTGTACATTAGAGTTTTCATATATATTTAACAGGCTGGTGGTCTGCCACCGAGGCAAGGTGACCCGAAAAAACAAATACTTTCATCAAAATAAATCCTGTGGTATATATGTTACATGTTTTCTCTATTATTTTCATTATATTCTGTAGAACATAAATATAGAAAGGTTTACATGTGGGTAACTCCTATGTATTGGCAATTTGTTGATGCTATGGATGGATCAATACTGGCTTAGTTATAGGGATGATGGAGTGTAGAGGAGGTGAAGGTGGAGTGAAGGGAGAGGACGTGAAGGCTGTGCATTTGAGGAAGAGGTGTTGGTGGTGGTGATGATGGAAGTGGTGGTGACGGTGGTGGTGTAGTGCCTCCGACTGATGGAGGTAGTAATGGATGCCGTGAAGGTGGTAGAGAGGTTTGGGAAGCTGGAGGTAGAGATGAATGTTGTCCTCAGCGGAGTTTGCGCGTGACTGAGTGATCTTCCTCTGGTTTCATGAACCACTTGTCATCAAGGTCCTCCACTACCTCACACTGCAGTAAAGCTGAGTCCTCAACCTGCACACAACACTCACATTACTCAGCAATAACAACTCATGTTATCACGGTTGATTCACTTTTCAACGCACACAATACAAATGAAAACGAGGGGTTTCGGTCCCCTTGGACCATCGTCAGTAAGTTTATTCAGGTATACACAAATACAGTTACAAAGATTATCATACATAGCAACATATGTTTAAAGAATCTAGGATAGCCCAAAAAAGTCAAGTCCCCGACTTTAATATACTCCACGACGGACCCAAACCTCATCTGGTTTTCAAATCTAATTTTCAATAATAATAATAATAATAATAATAATATTATTATTATTATTATTGTTATATAAATGAAAACCAAGATTTTTATTCTAATAGATTTCCTGGAATCTGAATTAGTTAATATCCACCTCAGTATAAGTGAGTAAACACATGCACACACCTTCTTGAGTGGAGTGTACTGTGGGTGGTGGTGTTGCTTGTAAGGGTTGTTGGAACGCTTGTTGAATGCCACAATGAAGACCCAGCGACGATTATCAGAGCTGTTCTGGTCGGAGGTGTGAAGGAGGTTACAATGGAAGAACAGTATGTCCCCCGCCTTCATCTCCACATATATGTGCTCCAGTACCTTCTGTGCCTGCGTCAGAGTGAGAGCACAAGGATTAGTGACGCATATGTCTGTTCCAGCGCCTGCTGCGTCTTCGTCAGGGTGGCAATGTAGTGTGCGGATGTGGATCATTACAGTATGCTGTGGGGAAATAATTTATATGTTCACTACAAGTAGTTTACATTATAGATGAAAGCATGGAGAAGATGCCTCAAGGGAAAGAAAGAAGGCAGAAAAATGTTTACATGTACGAGGGATGGTAACAGGAAGGAACCACGAGTCATTAAATAAGACATTGAAAGACGTTGCTTACATACATACGAATATGTACAGTCACGTTGTTATAAACTACATCACCTCAATCAAGTTTGTCGTCTTGAGGAAATGAATCAGCGACTCGACGATGTTTGGGGGATCGTCTGTAAAGGATGGTGAACGGAATGTGGTTGTGTTCAGAGAGACGGAGAGGACCACGAGAAGCATGGTAGAGGGAGTAGGTGGAATGGAGAAGCTTCTGCTTCAGGAACATGTCGAAAGAAAATGACAAGCGATGCTTTGGAAGTGTGTCTAGGTAGACAGAGTTAAGGAGGCTTCTAACAGGCATAACATCCATACGAAGATTAATACATTATTAGAAGGACCAATCCGCAGTCGTTAGTCTGAAATTATTTAAAACAACCAGGTTGACCCACTCACTTTGAGAGAAAAATTTGAATGATATACTGTGGGAAGGAGGAAGTTGTGTGCATAGATATGTGGGACGGGATGACCCTTCCAGTGACACATGGGACGACACTTAGCGTGGATCACGAAACGACCCTTCCGGGGGCTCTTGGGATGACTCCATTCCCGCAGCTCACACGTTGCCACAGAAGGTATAATGATTCTTCGCCAAAGAAAGCAGTGGTCCTGGCTCCCGGGAAAACCAAGACATTCTTACGACCTCTGAGACAGAATTAGCGAGGGTATCTTCCCGGTCATTGCCGAAGATGTTACAAGGACCAGGTACCACGATCATGATGATGAACATGACACATGAGGTAAGCTAATTATTAGTTACGTTGCTCAGTATCTCATGTGAGATACTGAGCAACATTCAGGAAGAATATCTCACAAATGTGGGCTGGGAGCCAGCACTTTCCCTTGACGAACTAGTGGAAGCTAAAGCGTCAGTGGCTTGAGCCATGGTCTCCCATTTACAGGGTTTACCCCAGTTAATCGCGCCAACCCAGGGTAACTTACTAGTTGTCCTGTGGTGGCCACCTGCCAAACTATAAAGGCTAGCGATATGTCAGGTTCGATTGATCTGAGTTCTCCCAAACAAACTCTTCGCAGTGCAACCCAGTATCTTTTGACAAGTCAATTACACAATTAATGGGCCCGGCATAAACTGTATACAATTTAATGCAAAGATAAACATTATATATTAACGATACAGTGCATATATAACCTCGGAATGTAAAAAAATAAAGCGTAAATAACACATATGTTATTAGAATATTATACTGGTCCATTACTCTGGTTGCAACAAGAATGTTTACAGTTCACACAGGGTATACACTCATAGTTTACTTTATTTTTTTTTTCAGGGATGATAAGAAACTTTGGGTCAGCACCTACCTGCTGCTCCACTCTCTCTGGGTCAGCACCTACCTGCTCCACTCTCTCCGGGTCAGCACCTACCTGCTCCACTCTCTCTGGGTCAGCACCTACTTGCTCCACTCTCTCTGGGTCAGCACCTACCTGCTCCACTCTCTCTGGGTCAGCACCTACCTGCTCCACTCTCTCTGGGTCAGCACCTACCTGATCCACTCTCTCTGGGTCAGCATCTACCTGCTCCACTCTCTCTGGGTCAGCACCTACCTGCTCCACTCTCTCTGGGTCAGCACCTACCTACTCCACTCTCTCTGGGTGAGCACCTACTTGCTCCACTCTCTCTGGGTTCAGCACCTACCTGCTCCACTCTCTCTGGGTTAACACCTACCTGCTCCACTCTCTCTGGGTCAGCACCTACCTGCTCCACTCTCTCTGGGTCAGCACCTACCTGCTCCACTCTCTCTCTGTCAGCACCTACTTCCTCCACTCTCTCTGGGTCAGCACCGACCTGCTCCACTCTCTCTGGCTCAGCACCTACCTGCTCCACTCTCTCTGGGTCAGCACCTACCTGCTCCACTCTCTCTGGGTCAGCACCTACCTGCTCCACTCTCTCTGGGTCAGCACCTACCTGGTCCACTCTCTCTGGGTCAGCACCTACCTGCTCCACTCTCTCTGGGTCAACACCTACCTGGTCCACTCTCTCTGGGTCATCACCTACCTGCTCCACTCTCTCTGGGTCAGCATCTACCTGCTCCACTCTCTCTGGGTCAGCATCTACCTGCTCCACTCTCTCTGGGTCAGCATCTACGTGCTCCACTCTCTCTGGGTCAGCACCTACCTGATCCACTCTCTCTGGGTCAGCACCTATCTGCTCCACTCTCTCTGGGTCAGCAAATACCTGATCCACTCTCTCTGGGTCAGCACCTACCTGATCTACTCTCTTTGGGTCAGCACCTACCTGATCCACTCTCTCTGGGTCAGCACCTACCTGATCCACTCTCTCTGGGTCAGCACCTACCTGCTCCACTCTCTCCGTCGACCTACTTACTAATCCTCTGGGTCAGCACCTACCTGTCCTCTCTCTGGGGGAGCCCTATGCTCCTCTCTCTGGGGCAGCACCCCATGCTCACTCTCTCGGGTCAGCACCCACCTGCTCCCTCTTTTGGGTTTAGACCTCCTGCTCCGCTCTCTCTGGGTCGCTTCCTGCCCACTCTCTTGGGTCAGCACCCACCTGCTCCCTCTCTTGGGTCCGCATCCTGTCCCCCTTTGGGTCGCATTTCCCCCCCCCCCCCCATCTCTTGGGTCAGCTTTACCTGCTCCATCTTCTGGTCAGCCCCCTGACCACTCCTTGGGTCGCACCTTTGCTCCACCTCTCTGGGTCAGCACCTACGTCCATCTCTGGGTCGCCTACCTGATCCCTCTCTTGGGTCAGACCCACCCGATCCCCTCTTTGGGTCGACTACCCGATCCCCCTCTTCTGGGTCGCACCTACCCGATCCATCTTCTGGGTCAGCACCCACCCGCTCCCTCTCTTGGTTTAACATTCTTGTTCCACTCTCTTGGGTCAGACCTACTGGTCCACTTCTCTGGGTTTACCTACCTGCTCCACTCTCTCTGGGTCAGCTCTACCCGCTCCACTCTCCCGGGTCAGATCTACCTGCTCCACTCTCTTGGGTCGTCTCTGCTCCACTTTCCGGGTCGCACCTACCTGTCCACTCTCTCTTGGGCAGCACCTATTGCTCCCCTCTCTCTGGGTCAGCACCCACCTAAACCCTCTCTTGGGTTTTGCACCTACCTGATCCCCCTCTCTCTGGTCAACACTACCCGATCCATTTTTTGGGTCAGACCTACTGATCCTTTTCTCTGGGCAGCCCACTGTCCACTCTCTCGGGTCAGCACCTACTTACTCCCTTCTCTGGGTCAGCACCCCTGATCCCCTCTCTGGGTCAGCCCTCTGCTCCCCCTTCTTGGGTCAGACCACCCGTACCTTTTCTGGGCAGCACCTCCTGTCCGCTTTCTGGGTCGCATCTACCCGTCCCCTCTCCTTTGGGGCAGCACCTCCTGCTCCCTCTTTTGGGTAGCATTACCTGCCCACTCTTTGGGTCAGCCCACCCGTCCCTTTCGGGGTCGCACCTACCCGCCTCCACTTCTTGGGTCGCATCTCCGCTCCCTCTCTCTGGGTCAGCACCTATGCTCCACTCTCTTGGGCAGCTCTACTGGTCCATCTCTCGGTTCAGATCTACCCGGTCCCCTCTCTTGGGTTAACACTTACTGGCTCCTTTCTCTGGGTTCAATTTTCTGGTCCTCTCTCTGGGTTAACTCCTACCCGCTCCACTCTCTTTGGGTTAACTCCTACCCGCTCCCTCTCTTGGGTTAATCCTACCTGCTCCACTCTCCTGGGTCAGCACCTCCCGCCTACTTTCTTGGGGGTTTAATCCCACCTGCCCCCCTTCTCTGGGTTAACTCCTACCTGTCCATTCTTCTGGGTCAGCCCCTCGCTGCTCCACTCTCTTGGATCAGTCTACCTGCTCCATCCCCCTGGGTTAACTCTACCTGCCACTCTTTGGGTTAAATCCTACCTGCTCCTCTCTTGGGGGTTAGCACTTCTGTCCCCTCTCTGGGGCAGCACCAATCTGCTCACTTCCTCGGGTTAACACTACTGCTTCCCTCTTTGGGTTAGCACCTATTGCTCCACTCTCTCGGTTAGCAGATTGCTCCACTCTTCTGGGTTAGCCCTACCTGCTCCATACCCTGGGTTAACATCTACCTGCTCCACTCCTCGCGTTAACACCCTGCTCCATCTTTGGGTTAAAATCTTACCCGTCCACTCTCTTGGGTTGCACCCATCTGCTCCCCCCTCTCTGGGTCAGCCCTTCGCTCACTCTCTTGGGTGCACCCACCTGCTCTCTTTTTGGGTTAACTCCCACCTGCTTTATCTCTCTGGGTTAACCCTACCTGCCCACTCTCTCGGGTTAACTCCTACCGTTTACTCTTTGGGTTAACTCCTACCGGGGTCATTCTTCTTTTTCAGCCCTTCTGGTTTTACTTCTTGGGTCGCATCTACCCGCCCCCTCCTTGGGTTAATCCCACCTGCTCCCCTCTCTGGGGTTGCACCCACCCGCTCCACTCCCGGGGGCGCACCTCCCTCTCCCTCCTCTGGGTCGCACCCACTTTCTCCACTTCTTTGGGTCAGATCTACCTGGTCCACTCTCTCTGGGTCAGCTTTTACTGTTCATCTCTCTGGGTCAGCACATCTGCTCCACTCTTTTCTGGGCAGATTTTTGTCCACTTCTCTGGGGGCAGCATCTCCTGGTCCCCTCTCCTGGGGTTTAAACTTACTGGCTCCATCCTTGGGTCGCATTTACCCGGTCCACTCTCTTGGGTTAACTTTGCTCCACTCTCTCGGGGTTAATGCTACCCGCTCCACTCCTCTGGGTTAACTCCCACCCGCTCCACTCTCTCTGGGTCAGCACCTTTTCAGCTCCACTCTCTCTGGGTCAGCCCTACCTGCCTACTTTTCGGGTTTAAATCCACCCGCTCCCTCTCTTTGGGGTTTAATCTCCTGCTCCATTTTTTCGGGCAGCACCTATCTGCTCCATTCTTCCCGGGGCGCATCTACTGCTCCCTCTCTTGGGTTAACTCCCATCTGCTCCACTCTCTCTGGGTTTTAAATCTTTCCCCTCCACTCTCTCGGGGTTAGCCCTATTGCTCCCCTCTCTCTGGGTCAGCACCTATTGTCCACTCTCTCTGGTTTTTTAAAAACCCACCCACTCCACTCTCTTGGGTTCACCTTTGTCACTCTCTCTGGGGGTTTGCACGTACTTGCCCCCTCTCTCTGGGGCTGACCTACCTGCTCCATCTTCGGGGTTAGCATCTCCTGGCCCCCTCTCTTGGGTTTAGCACTACGGTCCCCTCTTCTGGGTTTAAAAACTTACTGGCCCATTCTCTTGGTTCAGCTTTTCCGGTATCTTCTGGGTTAACTCCCCACTGCTCCTCTTTGGGTTAACTCCCACCTGTCCCCCTCTCTGGGTTTCTCCACCTGCTCCCCTCTTTGGGTCAGCCTTACCTGCTCTACTTTCTTGGGTTAACTCCCACTGCTCCCCTCTCTTGGGTTAACTCCTACCTGCTCCTTTTCTCTGGGTCGCACCTCGGCTCCCCTCTCTGGGGGGCAGCATCTACCTGTCCCCTTTCCCCCTGGGTTTAAATTCTACCGCTCACTCCTTTTGGGGTTACTCTTACTGCTCCCCTCTCTCTGGGTTAGCACTTCTGCTCCACTCTTCTGGGTCAGCCCTATCTGCTCCACTCCTTTTTGGGTTAACCCTACTGCTTTCCCCTCTCTTGGGTTTGAACCCCTTGCTCCACTCTCTGGGTTGCACAAATTGCTCCCTCTCTCTGGGTTACACCTACCCGCTCCCCTCTCCCGGGTTAAATCTCCTGCTCCCTCTCTTGCGTTAACACCTACGTGTCCCCTCTCTCTGGGGCGCACCCCCCTGTTCCAATCTTCGGGTTAACCTACCTGCTCCCTCTCTCGGGTCGCATCTATTTGCTCCCCTTCTCTGGGTCGCACCTACCTGCTCCCCCCCCTCTCTGGGTAGCTTACCGCCCCTCTCTTGGGTCAGATTACCCGGTAAATCTCTCTGGGTTAAACTTCTGGCTCCACTCTCTTGTGTCAGCATCTACCGGCCCTTCCTGGGTTAACTCCTTCCCGTCCCCTCTCTCTGGGGGTTTTTCTTACCTGCTCAACTCTTGGGTTAACTGCTACCCGCTCCCCTCTCTGGGTCGCACCCATCAGCTCCCCTCTTCTGGGTCAGCACCAATGCTTACTTTCTCGGGGTTTAAATCCTACCTGTTTTTCTCTTGGGGTTTAAATCCTACCCGCCACTCTTTGGGTTAACCCTACCGTCCCTCTTGGGTTAGCACCTCTTGCTCCCTTCTTGGGGTTAGCAGACTTGTCCCCTCTCTCTGGGTTACACCCACCTGCTCACTCACCCTGGGTTTAACTCTACCTGCTCCACTCTCCTGCGTTAACACTACCTGCTCCCCTTTCTGGGTTAAAATCTTACCCGCTCCACTCTTCTGGGTTAGCACCCTTCTGCTCCCCTCTCTCTGGGCAGCAAATTCGCTCCACTTCCTGGGTAGCACCTCCCGCTCTACTTTTTGGGTTAACTCTACCTGTTTTCCCCCTCTGGGTTAAATTACCGCTCCTCTCTTGGGTTAAATCCTACCTGCTTCACTCTTCTGGGTTAATCCCCTGTCCATTCTCTTTGGTCAGCACCTCTTGGTCTTTTCTCTC